AAAAAAATGTTAGAATATTCATGACTGGGAAAGACATGGTAACAAGGTCAGCCAATGAATAGGCATAGTCAGTGGGAGTTTAAACAGATCGGAGGTCTGTGCTGAGAATCGAAACTAAAACTACTCTTGTCTGCTCTGAACTCTGAACTGAAAAACTCCTTTCTGCTGTACTGTTGCTAGTGTTTTGCTTGTAACTTACTACTACGTTGGAGAAAACCTATATTGGTATTACACATTTATTCATGTGTTATTATCTATATTAAGAAGTTAATGATTCCAGCTGAATCAGTTACCTGTGTGTGCTTTCTAGATTTGATTTTTCTGCAACAAACTGACAAAAAAATCAGAAAAAAAGATCCCTTTCCACCAATATAGTTGCCTTTCTAGTCTCATGTATCTAGGCTAAAAACTGTGGAAGTTGTTGAAATGTGGACTCCTCATTGAAATGTGGACCCCTTTTAAAGTTTTCCTTTCAATTTGGCTAGGTGAAATATGAATCCCAGAGACGGCAAGAAGAGAAGCCGGCCGACTACACTTCCAGATCCTTCGCAGCATCCAATGGTGACGTCCATCGAACAAAAAGGGTCGCAGTGAAGAAAACTGAAGGATGGCTACCCACTGCTAGCCTATCTCGGAACCAGGAACTGGCAGATCCACTTCTTCAACAGATTGATAATATCACTTCCTTTATTGAGCAGGCAAAGAAAGCCAATCGTCTGGATGAATTCCAGATGCTGCAGGAGAACCTGCGACAGCTTCAGGATGAGTACGATCAACAGCAGACCTTCAAAGCCATCGAGCTCTCTAAAAAGCAAGCAGAAATGGAGGAAATGCAGAGAGAACAATTGCAGATCCTTTGTGAAAAAGAATGGAAAAGGGATCATAGAAGAAAGATGTCTCAACATTCACGGACACGTTCTCTGGATTTCAGAGAAGTGAAGCCCGACAAGCTCGAGATGGAGAGGGAAAGCATAAACCAAATAGCAGAGGCTTTGGATCTGGATATGCTTCAGGACAAAGATTACTCTGGCTGCAAGGCTACGTTGCCCAGTAGTGGTGTTGGATTGCCAGGGAGCAAGAACCTGGTTTTGGTTTGCCAACCTGTAGAAGCCTCAGGGCAAGAAAAAGCCTCCATAAATCCTTTTGAAGATCCTTTAGTAATTAGCCCTCCAAAGAACGACCCTGACAGTCCTGTTGCTGAAAACCCTGCAGTAGCTTCCTTGCCTCCCTGTGCCCTGCTCAATTACAAAAGAGAGTACAACCCATTTGATGAAGAGGAGGAGTCTCAGCAGGCAAATGGGGTAGATCTCAGTGCTCCAAACCCATTTGAAGATTCTGTGGCAAATCCATTCTCTACACCTGGGGGTAATCAGGAAAGTGGGAATCCATTTGAGGAATCAGGGTCTTCCTCTTTGAATCCTTTTGAAGTGGAAAGTGATAATGAGGTTTCGGGGGAAGATATCATAGAGGAGGAATTACTTCTCCAACAAATTGATAATATCAAAGCCTATATTTTTGATGCCAAGCAAAGTGGGCGAATGGACGAGATAGAAGTATTGACTGAGAATTTGAAAGAACTTAAGAGCACCCTTGCAAAACAGAAAAAGAAATCGAGCTGCTGAACTATGTCCTCATACTTCTGCAGTTCCCAAAGGCAGGGAAGATCAAGGTAAAATGAGAAATGCATCGCAAAAGGCGCTTGGGTGCTGAATCAAGCATAGGCACTTTGGCATAGGGATTTCCACTCTTCAGATCCGTAAAAGTCAACACTATTTAAAATGTTATAATTACCCGAAACCGTTCTTCAAATACTTGGAAAAGTCTGTATTTGTATCCGAACCCAAATTTAGGAGCATAATTGTATTTCTCAGCACCTGCTTTATCTCTGATGGGTTCAATTTTCAAAGGGGAAAATTGGGCATTTTAAAATTCAGGAAATTATTTGCAGTCCTCAAGACCGTCTGAATTTATTTTCTCACCAGGTAGGATTGTATGTGCTTAAAAAAAAGAAGAAGAAGAAAAAGAAGAGAATTGCTTGAAACCATCTCTTAAATTCCTAAGGCAGAAGCAACTTGTGCAGCAACTTGGAAAAGCTTTTACTGCTTCCAAAGAAATGTGGTGCTCACAGGAGCCCAACGCATTTCTTCAGAATCGTTTTTGAATCTTGCACAGCTCAGCTAATCAGAAATTAACACAGTTGCAAATTCTCAGCTTCCCTACCAACTTTATATTTTAGGGAAGCAGAAGAGAGGCAATAACTTACCGTTCAATAGAATAAAGTCATTCATTGCTAAAGCAACATATATATTTCTAAAAACATATGCACATGTTTTAGAAAACAAATGCATAAAACCTAACTAGACATCATGTATTTTTTTCCCTTTACCTGTTCAGCTGATCAAACTATTTGAATAATTTTTTCCAGCCAATTCTTGATTGTACTTTTGTACAAAATTTTGAAATTTTGACACTCCCTCAAAACTACATAATTTCCAGGCTTTTAGAAATGCCATGATAGGAAAACTGTTTGAAAAAATTAGAAAATTTGCATCCAGAACTGTGCTTTGACGGGAGCCACTCAGAGTATAAATTCAAAACTAGAAGTCCATTTTTCTTTCTAATTTGATTTCTCTCTAGGGTTTAAGGAAATGTTAAGTCTAGAATGGAAGGGGGGGGGGAGAATGCCCAGAGTATAAGAGAGACCAACATGAACTCATTTCACAAAAAGAAAGTGTCAGTGTTGACATACCCCCTTCATTCGTTGTGAGGAGGATTTGTGCGAACCCTGTTATATTAAATGAAGGCTATGAAATTCTTAGGGTTGAGCTATTCATTTGTAAATCTTTTTTTTCTTTTATTGATCTGCCAGCTATGAACAGAAAGGTTTAGAAGTGTTAAATAATATCTGGTTTCAGTTGTACGGAATGAATTTTATTTAGTTGCATTTTATTATTTTGGTAACAAACCAATTTTAATTGTTTACATCAGAACTTACTTGGAGAGTATTATGTACTTAGGGGAATGGGAAGAAGACCCAAGCATTAATCATTCATCCGATTTTGACAATTGTTTCCATTTAGAAACGCTGGTAGAGATGATACTGTACCCAATATATGTGGACACTAAATGTTACATTCCTCAAAAGATTAGAGATAGAATGGTCAAGAACTAAGGCAGCACTTTATACTTTCAGCATTAAGTATTACATGTTATTCATTTGTTAATTCATGGTATGCGTATATATATATGGTTTCCTTTTTAGTAGGGAAAAACTACTTAGCTTTGATTTCATGCATAACTCAGCGACAGCCTGTTTTAATGAAGCCTGTAAAAACTGAGCTGAACACTGCCCATCAGGTTATATAATAAGTCTAAGGATACTTGTTCTGAATTTTTTTTAAAAAATGGGAGCATTCTGGAAATGAACTTACAATGCACTAAACAGGACATGAGTTGGAACATAAAAAAGTGATATTTTTAAAAATGGATACCTACAATTTGAGCAGGCAGCAAAGGCGCGATGATTGTTTAAGGTAAAACTATATTTATTAAAAACAACAAGGCCACAAACTTGATCTGTCACTCTTTATGTCCAACCAATATGAATGTTTCAGTGGCTTTTTCTTTTAATTTAAACCAATTTCCTTGTTATATGCATTCTGCCTTGTTTCTATGTATGCCATAGTCTACTTTATAAGACATAGTATTGATGTATTTTATTAATAAATACATTGGTTGTAGCTCTATAACCGCAAGTCAATGTGGAATTATCCTCCTTGATAACCTAATGGTTGTCCCACATTTTGTCAGCCTTCCGTTTGTACTACTGAATTGACACAATGAAAATAAACAAGACCATGCCATTATGAGATTGAACACTAATGCCATTTGTTTGTACATTTGCATGCACTAGTTTGTAAAGTTTCTCATGAAATAAAGTAAGATTTTTGTTTCTGTGAGTGTGGAAAAACTGATTAGGTCAACATCAGCACAGCATTCTAGTCTTCCATGTGAACTGCAAATTCCTCTTATGAGCAGCACGCAGGAAGCATTTTTATACTGAGCCAGGCAATTTGTGCAAGGAAACATTGTTTAGATGGGGATCTTTTCTGGCTGATTTACTGAAAAGATTCTAAGGATTTAATCTCTGTTTTGCACCAAGATACTTTCTTTAGTTTAAATAAAAAGAGAAATGCATGTAGGAAGAAAAAAAGAACAACTTTTTTTCTGGAGTAAGATATTTAAAATAAGGTGAACAGTCTTTCAATCCAAGTCTTGTGTAGGAAAAAGTATGCACATGGTGAAATGTAGAAAACTACATAGTGTTCATACATGATCTTTGGTTTTTAAAAAAATATGTTTTGCAATAATGTACCATTTGAACCAAGACAGCAAGAAATAGTCTGCAGCACAGTAGCCCGGGTTCAAATCCCAGTAAGGGTATGGCTAGCTGATGAGAGCTAAATAGCTTGAAATAGATCTATACTAATCTCCCTTTATTTCTTTGTCAGTAAATATAATTCAACACAAAAATAGCTTGTTGCGAAGACTCCTAGATTGGGACTAAAAAGTCAAAAGTAGTAGTAGTATGNTTTAAGTAGCAGTTGTTGTGTGTGTGTTTCCGGTAGATGGTGTGTCCTAGGGAGCCATAGGGTTTTTTATAGATTAGGACGTCCAGAAAGGGAAGTTGGTTGTTTGCTTCTATTTCCATATTGAATTGTATTTTGGGTTGTAGGCTGTTGAGATGTGTGAGGAAGTTGTCCAGTTTTTCTTTCCTGTGTGGCCATATCACGAAAGTAAGTGTGGTGTGTGTGTGTGTGTGTGTATTCATTCAGTGAAGATGAATTTTTTTTTAAAAGGCATAAACTTAGTGAGCTATATTTTATGTCATAATAAATCCATGTTGCCATGTTACATGGTTTTTACCAATACTTGGCAATACTTAAAATTCTCTTTGCCTCATATTTATTCCTCTTAGCTGATTGTTATGTATTTCTAATTCACTCTTTTTCTTTGTTTGTTTCAGCAAGAAGATTCTAACTTTAGGGCTGAATGAAAATCCACAACCTCATCCCAGAACTTTTCAGCTTCAGAGGATGATTAGATATTCAGCCACACTTTTTGTTCAGGTAGCGATATGTAGAAAGGATGAGCTGCGTTTAGATATGTTAATTCCTCTAAGACAATATCAGATTACGTACTGACACTTTAAATGTTTCTCAGGATGTTATAAAACTGGTCATTTTATTTTAACAATTTGCATAATGAAAATAAATTAGTGCTTCAGTTTTTAAATACTTCCTACCTAATTAGATGTAACCTATATCAATAGCTCTGTTGGTATTTAGAAGACTAATGAATTCTTTTGCACAGTGTCATAGTGATGGGAATGGTTTCTTAGCACTGTAATTGGATTCTAATTTAACAAGTTATTGCATGATATCATGGGACAATTCCTTGTTATTAATCAAGTAATCTAAGCCTAAGAAAATAATATTTGCTTATTCTCAGGTTTTGACTTTTCTTTTTCCTTTCACCTCCTTCCCCCTTCATTTGAAATTGCATTTTAATAATTCTAAGGTGCTAACTTTTCATAGAGTTAGTAACGTTGGAAAGGACTACAAGTCCAACCTTCTGTAATGTGCCAATTAAACTGTTCTCAAAATGTATCTAACCGGTCTTAAAAGCCTCTATAGCTTCTATAAGTATTATCTGGATGACATCCCGCCTCTTTGTTACCATACAGGGAGTTCTTGACTTACAAACACAATTGATCCCAAAATTTCAGTTGCTAACTGTTGTTAAGTGAGTTGTTGACCCATTTCATGACCTTTTTTCACAGTTGTTAAGAGAATTATGTAGTTGTTAGGCAAATCTGGCTTCCCCCATTGACTTTACTATTGATTTTCTATTATCCTTGCACTTTAGTTATGTTTTTCTAAAAAAGCTAATTGAAAAAAACATCCCAGAAGCAGGAA